AGACACACAGGATGATGGAAGCTGATCAATGGAGTGAAGGTTGAGGGCACAGTCAATACACAGATGTGACATTGCAGTGACACACAGTTCTGCAGAATAGGACTGATCCCCTGAACTGTTTCTGAGCAGATGGTCTCTGTGTGTCCACTTTTGTGTCAGTGTTTAGGTGTGTGTGTGTGTGACCTTGACCCAGGAGCTGAAATCGCTGCCAAACGTCTGACTGAGAGACAAGAGACCGCCATAGGACCATGCCATACCAACACACACGCTTACACACATACACAAAAACATAGTTGAGTTTTACACACTGTGCAACCTTAACCATGGACATACTGTAGGTTTTCACAGTATTATACTGTATATAAACATGGATTCTGCCACAGGGTGGCACTGTTTCCCCATCCTTCTTCACAGTCTAGGAGAGAGGAGTGAGAGAGTGTGTGAGAGCGAGTGTGTGTGTGTGTGTGATGTGTGTGTGTGTGTGTCTTCATGAGTTCTGCAGTGCTGGTTACTGGGCCTCTCCTTAGTTTTAACTCAGATCAATGGTTATTACTGTGCCCTTGTCCAGGTCTCTCTCGCCTCTCCCTTTCCCAGACAAGCACACTGAGGCAAAATAAAAAAATAAACACACACGCACACACACATATATAGGAACATAAAAGTACATGGGTTCACAGGCAAGCATCTGCAGCCTTTCTCAAAAGCAGGCTTCCTGCTGTGATCACTTCCTTTCCTCATCTACTCATGTTTCTCCACATGTGGTAATAAAACACTGATGAGTGTTCTACTTCTAGTCCCCCTTCCTCAGACTGCTTTTTCACTGCTGATTCTGGTTGGCCGATGTTAGTATTCTAGAAATCGTTACAGCAAAACTGTTATATGATTCAAAATGCTATACAACTCAAATAACAATCATCACATCTTTAAATGTCCATGATATGTAGAGGTTTTAGCTGCTAAGTGATTTAATTTGTCAATCTTGGGTGTTCGATGCTCATATTCTTTGAAACATATGAGACATTCTTTATATTTTTGCAGCTAATTTTATAGTTGAGTGCACATCTTCTGAAAAGGAAGCTTAAAAATATTACTTCTGGCTTTTTGGTAAGCCACAAATGCATCATTTTATCTCATCCTAATCATCATACTTTCTCACACAGGCCATATGGTCACCTACACTCGCAGGTCTGAGCCACGTATCACACTTTATGAATATTCATGTCCAAAACATAAATATGGTGATTTCAAAATGCTGATTGGCTTGGCTGAGTTGAGTGTGTGTATGTGGGTTTGTGTATGTGTGTGATGTGTGTTTGCTAGAGTCGGTGTGTCTTGGAGCCGGAGGCCGGCCAATCCAAAAAGCCATGAATTTGTAAACAATGTGCTCTGCAATTCCCAATCAACACCTCCACACCACCCACGCCTCGTAATCAGGGAGAGCGGGAGAAAGAGAGAGTAGACAGAAAAGCCATCACTGGCATTTCTCCATAATCAAAGTTGACAGAGGGTAGAAATAACATACTAATCAATGGCCCTCTACATCCAGTACAGTTCAGGTCATTTCAGTGTACTTCAGTGTTTTTTTTCCTGGGGGAAAACTTGGCTTCCAATACTGGCACATTACAAATGTCCAAACACAGACAACAAATAGACACCCATCCACTCCAACATATGACACACTCATAAAGATTCCAAGAGCTGTGAAAAGCAGCTAATTAATCCTACGACACAACATGACAACGTGGCAAACACTGGTAAACAAATTTTACAACACAAATATTAAGACTGAGAAGGTTAGGAAAGGTGCGTTAACACAGATAGTTGAAATGCTGCCATAAAAACAATTTTTTTTAGAAACAAAAAAGTCTGTTTACTGTTTCTTTACAGTCATGTGAGAAGCATGTCACAGCCAAAGTCTATTTACTTTTATAACGGAGCCACTGCTGTAGGAAAAGAGAAAAAACAAGACAAGGAGAGAAATAGAAAGAAACTGATACCCACTGACAGCTGAAAACAAAGTGGTAATATTTGAAAATCAAGCAGATAAAGTTTTTTCTTCCCTTTCTCTCTGTCTGTATCTTTCTCACTTTCATCTCTCACTCTGCTGTATTCAATCTTCTATCCATGCTGTCTTCTCCAAGTCAATTCAATGCCTTTGCCTGTGAAAGACATCTTTTCTATAACTTCCTTTCACTTAGTTTTTCAATTTTCCTTCCCCTAAGCCCTCCCTTCTTTCTCCATCTTTTCCATCACCCTTCCTCTCACACATTCTCTCCTGTCAAGGACACAGGCTTCAGAAAGAGAGAAAAAAAAATCATATGAAGACTATGAATCACCCTTTTCTTTCTGTCTTCTCTCTTTCTAGCCTCCTGCTCCCTCTCTCCTTCTTTTTCACAAATATATCTGAACGCTGATTTCCCCCATGCCTGTCAGGGCTGGAGAGCACTGGGCAACAGCAGGTAGACTCACGAAATATAAACGTATGAATGAGAAATAAACACCAACAACCGTGCACACCCTGACACACGGTGTGTTTGACAATCTGTTTGACCATCTGTCTGCCTCGTGCATCGACATAGTCTGAACTTGAGGACATTGTGCATGTCTGTGTGTGTCTGTGTAGGTGTGTAGTAGGGTCGGACCAACACATAAACGGATTTAAACTAATCATCAGCCAGTAAGCATTGTCTTAATACAGTTCATTTGATTTTATATTTGATATATTATTTACAAATATTACACCCTTTAGGAATCAAAATTATAATGATTATAGTACAGATAGCAACACATGAATATGTGTTAATATTAATAATTATCTTGGATTTTAAGGTAGAGTCCTGTGATATCAGAGGCTTTATCACCATGACAACAGCAAACCCAAGGGAAAAACAGCAAGCACTTCTGAAGTACTGGCAAGAAAGTGGCATGAAAATTTAGAGACACTGACTATCTGCACGGCATATCTTCTGCCAGCTGCTTCAGTCCAAGGTTATGAGCCTTTACAAACTAATACTGGTGGAAACTGAGTGCATATACTAGTTTCTGGTTGTGGTGTTTTTCTGTTGTGAAGCCAACAAACTGCTCCAGGTGAACTGAACTAAAGCTAATCCCTGTAAAAAAGGGGCAAGACTCATACCTGGCAAAGTCGAGGTCAGCCTCCCTGGACATGGTGATGTTGGTGAGGTTCTGCTGAAGGACAAATATGTTCCTGCACATCTTCTTTATACCAGACTCACTGATCCTTTTAAAGTACTGGGCCCCGTTGATTAGAATACAGGAGATCAGATGACCCAGACCTAGCAAGAGGGAAGAAGAAAAAGAGAAAAGAATGATAGTCAGTTCAGCAAAGAGAAGAACTGAAAAAGAGAGTGGCATAAAAACAGAAAAGGTTGGTGCTGACCTTCAAAGATGTACTGGAACTTGTGCTGCTGAAGGGCAGCCCCCATGGCCTCCTCTATGGCTGAGATGTCCTTATTAAGTTTCACCACCAGTGGGTCATAGTCCATGCTCTCCACATTAGCCACAATGGCATAATTGCCTTGCTTAGTCAAGGGGATCAGGTAATGGAAACAATGCACCCTGGATTAGGACATAGGAGGAGAGTAGAGTTGATGGAAATAAAAGAGAAAGTTGAACATTTGTTGTTGAAGACTGTTCATATCTTTAATCTTTTTCCATTTCAGGTCTTGTCAAACATGCACCTGCTGATTTTGCCGTTGATGTTGAAAAAGAAAGAAAAAGGCTTATATACCATAAAGAGATGAAGTGTTTTATGACATAGTTCGAAGGTAGACTTTAGTGGGCAATGAGTGTTCTCACTTCTGAAGCCCTGTTAATATGTATACCTAACTCTAACACCTATAATTCAGTACTCATAATATATCTACTTATTCAGCTACCACTACTTCACTTCTGAATACGATTCAGCCAGGAAATCTGATTAGTTAAGAGGACCCTGTGGAGCACAGTGCTAAATACAGTTTGCTGTACAACTTTCAGAGGTATAAAAATACTTAAACATCTAGTAATTACAGCCTACAGCCTAAAAAAAAAAAAAAAAGGCCTTCACTTCAAATCTTGTATTGAAATAACACAGCCTGAGGATTTCTGTGAGTTTCCTTCATTCTACGGGTCCTTCATGTCCAAAACAAATATGCCTTTGGAGCATTTAATTACATTTTCACAATGTATGCCAGAGAAGCTCATCTTTATGTCTCAACGCCTTACATACTGTATTAAAGATGTTTCGGAATTCATTTTATCTAAAAATATTTTTGGTCAGCAGCCGTTAGATAAAGATGTGGTACAAACATGGATTTGTGCTCTTTGCCAGTAAGCATCTCCAGTGAGGTAATTATGGGTTAAGAACCTTGCTCAAGGGTTTTTATATTCACTTTACTTGGCCACATTTTATTTTGGCAGGTGGAATTACATACTGTATATTATTTTGTACCTGTGTTCATAGCCAACTGCCATGGACAAGGCTGATTCAACTTTACAAGAGACCCAACATCAGAAAATGTCAGAATGTTCAAAATAACATTATTCATTCTTTTTACTATTGGTTCACTGTGCTCTACATGAAAATAACTTTAATCACTAGAAGCAAAAAAATCCTATCCCTAGTCTGTCCAAGGTAACATATATCTTTAATAATACTTTTACAACTGTTATGTGCAGAGGAGGTGAATTTTAACCTATCTTTTAACAAGATGCTACTTTTCTCTGTCCATTTAAAAACCTACATCTTAGTCTGAGGTCCTTTAGGTCCACAGAAGGCTCATTTATGTCTAAACTACAAGGAGTCAATACTCTCATAATTCCATAATCACAGTGCCCTGAGCAGAAAGTTATAAAATGATATGGGTGAATGTCTCTTCCCCCTAAGGTGAAGCCAACAACTACACCACAGTTTCAGTGCCTCCATCCTTATATCTCTATTCAATCATTTCTTGCACTTAGCTACTGTATCTCCCTTCTTTAACCCCCACCATCACTTTAACCTCCACAATCATCTCTCTTCCTCCCTCCCCTCTCGCTTTCTTCCTCATGGCTTCATTTAGCTGGTACCACTATCAGGGGAAATTCGCTAGATGGGGAGAGTCAATGGAGTGTAGCATATAGCTAGACATCAGCCTCAGGGAGGGTTTTCTACTGAAATCATAAACAATATTGCATAAGCTACACAATAGTCTACAGGGAAATAGTGGTTCATGGGGGGATGGAAGCAAGGGGAGAGGGATGATGGAGGACTATTAGTGGTTTGTGGGGGGAGAAAGTATATGGTGTGGTAAATTAACTTGGATATTGACATTCAAAACACATACCCAAGACATGGTATAAATTCCTGAACTTGTGCATTTAGGGGAGAAGTGTGATGCCACTGATACTTTTTGTCCATATGATTTAATGGCCTGTCCTCCTCTTGGCTTGTGTGGTATTATCATGGTAAATTAATTAAAGTTATACAGTAATGATCTAACATGCATCAAGATGCCACCAGTACACGGGCTTACACAGAAAGCGTTTGGTGCGGTTGTTTTGTTGCACATCACACTGGTGTGTGCTGACGTTAAAGGATCCAGTCGGAAAAATATAATTTAAAAATGCTACCATATTATGTGGTTGTAACTACACTACCAGTCAAAAGTTTGGACACACCTTCTCATTTAATGGTTTT